AGCGTACCAATCAACTCTTTTAACTAAAATGAAACCTAATCAGTACTACGGTTGACAGGTCATTGTATTTTAAGAAGATAATTATGACTTCTTCTATCCATATGACTTTCTTCGTGGCTGTGGCAACCTGGGTAGATAAAGATTCCCTTAAAATTTTAGGACTTACTTAGATTCAATTTAGACAATGAGCGTACCAATCAACTTCTATTGATGACAATAGATCAATTACGTGGTAGGAAGATATACAATGAGACTCAGACTATCTAACAATAAATTCTTCCGTGGTTATAGCAGAGCAGGAGAAAAATATAACTTACCTCTTGTAGTTGTGCCCATCTTTATTTAATAAAAAAATTTTTATTTTTGGAGCATCTTTTCTCATCGAACTATCAAAACTGTCATTCTTTAAAATAATGGATATAGAGATAGATAGAGTTTATAGATTTTTCAGGTTAATTCACTTTTACTTGATTTTTGGAGCCGTACCTGTTTTCTTTAACGTTGTCTAGCCCGATACGTTGTTCTATATACGTTTCTCGGTTGTCCATTTACTTTGGCATTTAGTTTGGAATCAATCTTTTATCCGTGATATAATAATGGGCTCTAAGTGTTTGTGTTAGCTTTGGTGTGCAATGTCCCTACTCGAACCTAACCTAATTCTATTTAAGCTTCTGTATTTTGGTATCTTATAAAAAAATCATTAAAATTTAACTTGTTCTATTACTATGTTGGGGGTATCCAGACTTTGACTTTTCCCTTTTATATTGTTTTCTTAATATAAAAAGCGTCCTGTCGGTATCAAAAGTTTTGACTTTCGCTCCCGGTAATCAATATTACCTTCAATTATTCACAAAGACAAAGTACAAATAAGAAGAGAGAAAAAATGTTTGTATAAATCTGATGTGAAAACAATTAAATTTTGGTATTTTTACATATTTAATTTGCAAGTTTGATGTTGTGGAAAATTTTGGAGTAGCACCCACTACAATCTGTCTGCTACTTGGTGTCCTTTTATATGTACACACTTGACTAATTGTTGAGCAAATCTTCCAAACTTTTAAAATTAATTAAAAACTTTACAACAGCAAACATCAAATGGGTTTGTTTGCAGGATTTAGTAGAAGGCAGACATCCATCCAAAAACTGATGGTAGTGCGCTTGACAAATTTCAAAGTCTCACAAGGAAAATCTTTCTTAAAATTGGATTTTGATCACATGCACAGTGAATAATCTTTTTGGATAATAATAAAAAAATTTAATATTTATTTTTTTAAGAATTTTAAAATTTTTAAATAAAAGTATTATGCATTTTTTAAGTCTTAAATACAAGACTGCAAGATTGTAGCTTGTAGCGGATTCTCATATTTATTTTCACGTCATTTGCTGTGTTTCACACTTTGGTTAAATAAGACAGAAATTGTAGTTTATTTCAATTAGACCCGCATTTATGTCCCTTATGGGTATTTGCGGCACAAACACGGCTAAGACCATCCTTGCAGTGTGACAGTGTGGAAGTTTGTTTGCATATTGGTTTCTTTGTCTGCAGTTTCATTTGTCAAAGTTGTAGTTATTCTGCATTTCATCCCAGCCTACAGCCTTGTAGCTTGGCAATCAGGGAGACCTGCACCGCTTTGTGGGACTAATGAACGACAAAGGATGTGAATGTCAGCTGTAAGCGCGGTTTTATGACTGCATAAATGTTGAGAGTTTTCTATAAAATGTTGCCAGTTTTTAGTTAAAAGCTTTAA